AGTCGTGAGAGGGTGTCAGAGGGATCACCAAAGACTATCAAAAACATATCTTTCTGATGGTCTTGGCCTGTGAAGCAGGTGGGACTGAGAGCAGGGCCTCCTGGACGATCTTAAATTCTGAGATGGTTCATAGAGGGAGATCCATTCAGACAGGTAAGCTGGACCGGAATCATTTAGGGTTTTAAAGGCTAAAGCCAGCACTTTGAATTGTGCTCGCTAGCAGACTGGCAGCCAGTGGAGCTGACATAACAGGAGAGTTGTGTGCTCCCTGTATGCCGCTCCTGTGAGCAGTCTGACTTTCGCCCATTGGACCAATTGGAGCTTCCAAACAGTCTTTAAAGGCAACCCCACGTAGAGTGCATTGCAGTAATATATACGGGATGTAACCAGGGCATGGACTACCGTGGCCAAGTCTGACTTCCCAAGATACGGGCACAGCTGGCGAACAAGTTTTCATTGTGCGAATGCTCCCTTGGCCACCACCAAAAACTGGGGTTCGAAGCTTAGCGATGAGTCCAGGAGAACTCTCAAGCTGTGAACCTGTGCCTTCAGAGGGAGTGTAACCCCATCCAACACAGGCTGCAACCCTATATCCTGTATGGAATGTATATCAGAGACAGATTTGTCAGGGAGCTTGGTTTACCAGGAAACACTAAAGATTAGGAGCAAGAAGAATGAAAGAAGGATTGGAAGCCACCCAGGAGCAGGATTCTGAAACAAGCAGCATGGAAACAAGAATGCAGAAATGACCATTACCACCATAGAATCCCTATGGTTCCTCAAGCCAACCATGTCTTGAAGTATTTATTGGAATCGTGAGCCAATCAGAGAGACGATCAGAGCGAACCAATCAGAACAAGAGCTTACAAGTGACTTGGATTCAGTGGAGAATTCCATGCAGCAGAGACAGATCTCTGGCTGTGAGAAACAGAAGGCTTCATTAAGAAACCCATAAGGGTCCATCTGTACCTTCACCACAGCCAACGTGGGCAGCAGTTCCTCAGAGCTAACAAGAAGCAGACCATTGTTACTTTTTTCTTCTCAAATGGATAGATCCTATGGCTTATTTATGGATCTGTAAAATCTATGAAAATGCAAAATATTCATGTGGGTGTGTGAAAACAGAACTAGCATGATGGAGGATTGGACTATGAGCCTGAAGACCAAGATTCAAATACCAGTTGTGCTATAAGACTCACTGGGTGACCTTGGGCAAGCCACACTCTCTCAGAGGAAGGCAATGGCAAGCCTCTTCTGAAGAAATCTTGCCAAGAAAACCACATGATAGGGTCACCATAAACCAGAAAACACTTGAAGGCACACAACACACATGGATGCAGAGACCAAAAGGATCCATTATTCTGGAGGTCAATGAAGTTGACTGCATCTTATCCGGAAAGGCAAATAACTGATTGGGATGACAGAGGTGTCCAATGTCTGGGGTGAACGTTTTCATACCTCTTCTTATCAATAATTAATAGAAAAGGTTAATGGGTTTTTGGAGAATGAATGAGTGAGTGGGCAACACCTCCATTTTCCACACACTTACTTCAGATCCCTCTACAAGCCATGCCCAGAAAGATACTATAAGATCACAAGTGGGCACAGAAGCTTTTACTTTCTTGCCAAAGACAAATAAAATTGATTCTAGAGGCAAATGCAAAAACAGGAAAGGATATTTCTGCAGTCCCTATCTTCTACAGCAATATTGACAGCAGTATGAACTGTTAGAACTAAATTCTGGCTTTTGATAAATCCAAGTAGGGAGCAAGAAAGCAGGAACTACCATTAGCTGTTTGATGAGACTATGGACTCTCCCAATTTCTCAGCATAAGCACTTCTTATTTTTGCTTATCAGTTTTCTTTGAATACTTTGACAAGAAAACCATGTTTGATTTTGAAGAAGGAGTCAAATCTAGCTACTCTTTCCTCCTCCTTCTCGAGTTACTTTTCCCATCACAGAAGTCCATTCTGCACCCAAAACTGGCTCTAGGTAACAGGAAAACATCAGCTCTAGGTTAAGGGACACCTAGAACAAGGCATCAGCTTTCAGCTTTTGAAGCCATGACAGAGTCCTTGTACAGCTGAGATCATTTATTGGGGAACAAAAATATGCAAAAATAGATTTGCATGGGCACTCCTCTTGTGTTTCTCAACAAGCTGCTGGTTGCATCTACAGTGAAGATGACTCAGAGCTGTTTGACCATATGTACAACACATCATGGAGGCCTAAATACCCCAAATCCCATCTGATCTTGGAAGCTAAGCAGAACCAGTTATGGTTAGTAGTTGGATGCTAATGAATTCCAGGTGCTATAGGCTATATTTCAGAGGATGGAACCAGCCAAACCAATTGTGAGTATTTATTGCTTAAGCAAACCATATGGAATTCATGTGGTGGCTGGCCATAACTCCACAGGCTATGTGAAGGCACATACACACAAAAGGTATGACCTTCGTCTTTACCCCACAAATGCTGCAGGCTAGAAATTCCAGAACATGGGAAAAGGTGCCTTTTTGGATCATCATCCCCAGGTGATGCTGGGAGTGGCAGTCCAAAAAGAAGAACATTCCTCAATCCCAGAAGAATTTCCAAGGAATATCAGATGCTCTGGGATATTCCTTGGAAATTCCTTCCCTTAGAAAACCCTATGACATTCATGGGGTCATCATAAGTCATGAGACCGATCAAAGGCATGCATACGCAATGTGTCCTATGGGTAGGTGGGTCACAAGCATGGAGGTGTGCATCAACTAAAGCCCTAATAGGCTTCCAATACACCACACATATTCATCATCTTCAGGAGAATCTTCCAGGGTTTGTTCCTCACCTGGGCATGGAAGGACCCTGCACATTCCCTCTAGTTTTTGGTGTAGCTCTGAGCCCCCCACCTTGGGAGGATGCTCAAGAAGATGTGGCCTAGTTGCACAGAAAGACTGTCTGGATCTACAGCCAAGATCTCTCCCGGGCAGACTGACTCCCTTTGGGCACCACTGCAGCTGAGCTTGCACTGAGCATGTGCTGTTGCGTTCCCTGCTTGCTACAGGGAAACAATACAGGGAAACAAGAAGAAAAGGCACAGACAACCTTCCCTTGTTTCAAATCTAGGAACATTTTAACTATTTTTTAATTAGACCTTCAGAAATCATCTGATACAAGCATACATTTACACATTAGCATCCTTCTTATAGCTGCTTTCCCTCCTTTTCTTTCCTTAGATGCATCATGCTTTTTAGAAGGAAGGATGGAGAGATGGGAGTGGGAGAGAATGGGATTTTTCTTATGCGAGGGTTAAAATCCCCCTTCTCAACTCAAAGGCTTGCCTGCCTGCAATGAATGGGGAGAGGGAGCCGCCTTGTGCAAACCCTCGCAGAGGTTCCACCCTGTTCTTTGTCTTCCTCCGTCTCCCTTCTAATTTCTGTCATATTGCTGTTAACCTGGAATATCTGTCATTCGAAACTGGTCTTACGCCAAACCTAATCCAATTGGGAAGCAAAGAGGATCAGAAAAAGCCCTCCAAGGCAAACGACTCAGCTTTAAAGGCCCTGTCCTATTACCAGTAAATTGAAATTTATTGTGGTGGTGGGTGAGTGGATGGATGGGTGGATGGGGAGGGGGCAGGAAGGAAGGAAGCAAATGGGAGAAAGTACCATATTGTTTCCAAGCACCAGATGGGGAAGGCACCTGGCACCCAGATGTGTCCCTTCCTTTCACATTTCACAGCAGGGTCTCCCAGCCTTTGCTTTCACTGCTGGGGAGCCTGGCCAAGCCTTGCACCAATATTTATCTAATTTAGACCAATCCCGCAATAAAGTAATAGACAGAGAATGGGACCACACACCCGCAGGAAAAACCATTTCCAGCCTTAAGCTTGCTTCCCCTGCTTCTGCCTCATCTTCAAATACACACAGGGCAAAAATCTTCTCTTATAAGGTTAGTGACACATCTCTAAGCTTTTATAGAGCTGGCTTTGGACCTTCAATCCCTCCAACCGTACTCCTATTATATAAAAATGCAGAAACAGAGAAGGAAAATCAAACAGCACAGGGATGGGCAAGACCAGGGAAACCAGCAAGAAAAACAGGTCATCCGTCTAGCTAACGTGTGCATTTGTGCATGCTTATATCTATATTTCTCTCCCTTATGCTGCCTTTCTCCAGTCCAAAATAACATCTCCTCCTTTTAATTTGACAAAGGTCCTGATGTTGGAAATGATATGTCTATTCCCAGCCACATTTCAACCATTTGATCAGTTCGAAAGATCAAGGTGATTAGAGATGCAGCAAGGTATATTATTTGTAGGAATTATGAAATAGGCGAAAGCATGCACAAATGGCAAGCAAAGCTACCCCAACACACCCCCAGCCGGGCCTTGTAACCAGGGTGGGCAACAGGGTGCCGTTATGCAGTGGTGTCATTGCTCCTGCAGGAAAAAAAAATGTCTATCAGCATTGGGTTTTCATTCAGCGCCATGGGTGGACCACTCCCTCTAAAGCAGTTCCTGGCTGTACAACCTGCACTGGCTCTGTGTTAACCCAGATTTATAATGTTAATACTACCAATAATAATCCTTCTCTTTTTGTTCTTTTCTGTGCTTTTTTATATCTTTATCCATCTCCTTAACAAAACAACACAGTTGCAAATACATGAACCAAACAGTGTGGGAGTGGGAGGCACAGAATTACAGAATCTATGATTCTGTGCTTCCATCTCCCATGACCATTTCAGTGAATGTAATTTTAACCATACAGGAAAAAATAAGATTTTTTACACCAGTATCTCCAAATAATATGCAAGCACTCAATTCTGAAAGCAAGAGAAAACAACAATCCCCGCCCAGCTACCTGGGGATATAGCTTTGCAAGCAAGCCCCACCTTGGACGCGAAAGGAAAAAGCTAAGAAATGGTGTTGACATGGACCACTGCAAATATATTCATCCTCAATAAGGGAGTTGCATATAAAGAAAAAAGGAATAAATATTTGGGTTTTGTTTTTTACCTGAGACGGTGCTGGCCATGGTGGTGAGATGGGTAGCGGAAAGGATGCTGCAAAGAAAGATGCGGAGAGGCAGAAGGCTGGCTTTTTTTTGCTGCCGAAGTGCTGCAATGCTGTGGAAGAGAGGAAGGTCTGACTCAGCTCTTAGGGGCTGTGGCTATCCAAGAAGGGAGGAGAAAAGAGAGAGAGAGAGCGAGACAGAGAGAGGGAAAGAGAGAAAGAGAGAGGTCTTGACAGAGAGAAGGGGTTCCCAGATCACAGGATCTATCAATCGATTGCTTCTCGGAGGGTGGCTCTTGATATCCAAATCCTCCCCAGTGTCAAGAGTCTAAGGAGGAGAGATGCAAAGGCTGTTGTTAGCAAAGGAGGGATGCAAGCAGACACGCCCAAGCCTGAGATGTATTTGTTCTCCCTTTCCTTTATCTAGCACCAGTTTACTGCTCTTTCAGTCTATTCCTTTGCTAAGTCTTTCATTTGATATAAAACCGGGCATCGATGAGAGAAATTTATTTATTTTCAAAGCAAAAGCTTCTGGAACCAAAGCTCACCAACAATAAAGGCCATGTCTAAAAATCAGGTTAACCTGTCAAGAAAACACAGCTGCTGCTGGATTATTCTTGCCATTCCATTGTTTTATCAAAGTCACAACCCAGTAAAGATGTAATACTTGAAAACCCTCTCACAGGCTTGTCATAATATGGATTTGTTTCCAGTCAGTGTCCACTTTGAACTCAAGAAACCAAAAAACAAAATAGGTTTGCATATCCAAGCCACCACATTCTTAAACCAAGCATTCAGAAGCATGGGTTGTTGTAGGTTTTTTCGGGCTATATGGCCATGGTCTAGAGGCATTCTCTCCTGACATTTCAACTGCATCTATGGCAAGCATCCTCAGAGGTAGTGAGGATGCTTGCCATAGAGGATGCTTCCTCTGAGGATGCTTCCCATAGATGCAGGCGAAACGTCAGGAGAGACTGCTTCTAGAACATGGGCATACAGCCCGAAAAAACCTACAACAACCCAGTGATTCCAGCCATGGAAGCCTTCGACAATACATTCAGAAGCATGTCTTTTCCTATTTTTAAATGCTAATTTTTTATTAATAAGCGAAGAAAGAAAGAAAAAGAACAAAACACAATATGGAGAAACCAGGTTTTTGTAATATGTCACTCTAAAACTACACTTTATAAAACTATAAAACACACTAGCATTCCCCGACATCAGTTCTCAACCTTCCTTATGCCGCAACCCCTTCATACAGTCCCTCAAGTTGTAGTGACCCCCAAACATAATTTTTTTTTGCTACTTCATAACAGTATTTTTGCTACTGTTATGAACTGTAATGTAAATAGCTGATATGTAGGATGTATTATCATTCACTGGACCAAATTTGGTACAAATACCCAATATGCCCAAATTTGTATACTGCTGCGGTTGGGGTGTGTGTGTGTGTGTGTTGATTTTGTCATTTGGAAGTTGTAGTTGCTGGGATTTATAGTTCACCTACAATCAAAGAGCATTCTGAAATCCACCAATGATGGACATGATCCAAACTTGGCACACAGAACTCCCATGACCAACAGAAAATACTGGAAGGGTTTGGTGAGCATTGACCTTGAGTTTTAGAGTTGTAGTTCACCTACATCCAGAGAGCACTATGGACTCAAACAATGATGGATCTGGACCAAACTTGGCATGAATACTCAATATGCCCAATGTGAACACTGGTGGAGTTTGGGGGAAAATAGACCTTGACATTTGGGAGTTGTAGTTGCTGGGATTTATAATTCACTACAATCAAAGAGCATTCTGAACCCACCAAAGATAAATTGGGGCAAATTTCCCACACAGAACCCCCTTGACCAACCGAAAATACTTAAGGCCATCCAGTCCAACTCTCTTCATCAGGGCAAGATAATGTAATCAGAGCCCTCCTGACAAAGAGCCATTCAGTCATAGATATAGATAGATAGATAGATGATAGATAGATAGATAGATATAGATAGATATGATTCACACAGAGAGAGATATAGTATCATAGATTTGAAAGGGATCGCTAAAGAAGGACTATGATATGTTGTATATTCCAGAGTAGGTAAACCAGACACTCTCCCCATCAACACTGACAAAGAAACAACAAGAAATACTGTTGACCCACAAGCATAAAGAAATTACATATATTAGAAACCAACACTTTCTCATTACTTTATTTTCCAGATCACCAGACTGGGCCACAGCAACACGTGGCAGGGGATGGCTAGTTTTTATTAATAAACGAAGAAAGAAAAAAAGAACAAAACACAACATGGAGAAAGCAGGTTTTTGTAATATGTCACTCTAAAACTACACGTTACAAAACTATAAAACAGGCACCAGCATTCACCTACATCAGTGTTTCTCAACCTTCATACTGCCACAACCCCTTAATACAGTTCATGTTATGGTGACCCCCAACCATAAAATTATTTTCGTTGCTACTTCATAATTGTAATTTTGCTACTGTTATGAATCGTAATGTAAATAGCTGATATGCAGGATGTATTTTCATTCACTTGACCAAATTTGGCACAAATACCCAAAATGCCCAAATTTGTATACTGGTGGGGTTGGGGGGGGATTGATTTTTTTCATTTGGAAGTTGTAGTTGCTGCGATTTATAGTTCACCTACAATCAAAGAGCATTCTGAACTCCACCAATGATGAAATTGAACCAAACTTGGCACACAGAACTCCCATGACCGACAGAAAATACTGGAAGGGTTTGGTGAGCACTGACCTTGAGTTTTAGAGTTGTAGTTCACCTACATCCAGAGAGCACTGTGGATTCAAACAATGATGGACCTGGACCAAACTTGGCACGGATACTCAGTATGCCCAAATGTGAACACAGGCGGACAAACGTCATTGTGCTGGAAGAAGCAAAGACCACCAGCATTGAAGCGATGCTCCTCCGCCATCAACTCCACTGGACCGGCCACGTTGTCCGGATGCCCGACCACTGTCTCCCAAAGAAGTTGCTCTACTCCAAACTCAAAAACGGAAAATGAAATGTTGGTGGACAGGAAAAGAGATTTAAAGATGGGCTCAAAGCCAACCTTAAAAACTCTGGCATAGACACTGAGAACCGGGAAGCCCTGGCCCTTGAGCGCTCCAGCTGGAGGTCAGCTGTGACCTGCAGTGCTGCAGAATTTGAAGAGGCGTGAATGGAGGGTGAAAAAGAGAAATGTGCCAAGAGGAAGGCACATGAAGCCAACCCTGTCTGAGACCGCCTTCCACCTGGAAACCAATGCCCTCACTGTGGGAGAAGATGCAGATCAAGAATAGGGCTCCGCATTCACCTACGAACCCACCGCCAGGACACCGAAATTGGAGGACCATCATCCTTGGACTACGAGGGATTGCCTAAGTAAGTAAGTAAGTAAGTACCCCCTTGCAACCCCCCGCAGGGGTCCCGACCCCCAGGTTGAGAAACACTAACCTACATTAATATACACCTTTTAACTACTGAAGCTATTCTACAAACTTCACATTCATGGTTGATTTTTATCCCTTATTATCCTAATCCCTTTTGATATAATCAATCATGCTTTTTTAAAAAAAATCCTGCAAGAAACATGCTTTTTCTGATTCATAAAATGAGTTTATTTCAAAGACTACACTGGGATTTAGGCAGAATGCAGTCCTCCTAGTTCTTATTTGTCATTGTCATAAGCACTATTGTTTGCACTACCATGTAAACAACTCTTTCTGTGAAAAAAGCCCCCAAAATCCAGAGATTTTAATGGCTAATAACAAAATAAGATGTGAGTCTGAGAGACAGGGGTTGACTGAGGCTTTGCTGGAGGTTCACAGCTGACGTGAGACTTAATTTGGGACCTTTCTGACATGAAGCGCATGCTCTAAGCGTGACACACCAGATTTTTTAAAAAAACGATTAAGCCGCATCTTTTGAGAATGCCTGAAACAGCCATTAGGCTTGGCTAGAGATATACCAATTTATGATTCAGGGAGAGTCTACTGGCTGGGAAATCGCGTCTCAACCTTGTGCCATTGGCGTGGTTTGCATAACTGGCATTATTTGATACAATCCAAACAGCTTTCCATATCGACAGCACTGTCTGCCAGAAAATTGCATTTGGCACAAATGGGACCATTTGCACAAAGCTGAGCAACTGAAGGATTACAGGAAAATAACCTAGATGCTGAATGTTAGGGTAGAAGCTAGAAAGCTCTTTGTATCCTTCTCCTAAACATATTAATGGAACTGAGGGAGCATCTGTGCTGTTGAACTGATGCAGTTTTACACCACTTTAGTTGCCATGGCTCTATGCTATGGAATCCTGGGATACATAGTGTGGCACTGGGATTGTGGCGCAGCTGGCTGAGTGTTAGCTGCATTAAGATCACTCTGACCAAAAGGTCATGAGTTTGAAGCCAGCCCAGGTTGGAGTGGGTTTCCAACCAATTGTGTAGCCTGTTGTCGACCTTTGCAACCCGAAAGACAGTTGCATCTGTCAAGTAGGAAAATTAGGTACCACCTTAAAGTGTGGGGAGGCTAAAGTAACTAATTTATGAGGCCATAAATTAGTTGGCCTCTAGTAAATTAGTTGGCCTCTAGTAAGCACTCCAGCAGAAAGCATGCGGGGAATGCGGAAGTACTTCATCAGTGTCACAGATGGACAATGAAAGCGACAGCTCCCCTGGCGGCAAGAAAAAGTTAAATAGCCTCTGTCTATGTCTGTATATGTTGTATGTTAAAATTGGCATTGAATGTTTGCCATATATGTGTACTCTGTAATCCGCCCTGAGTCCCCTGCGGGGTGAAAAGGGGGGAATATAAATGCTGTAACTAACTAAATAAATAAATACTCTCTTTGGCAAAGAAGGCGAAAGACCTTGCAAAACTACAGCTCTTATGATTTCATACCATTGAGTCTTGGCACTTAAAGGTAAAGATTCCCCTTTGACATTAAGTCCAGTCAAGTCTGACTCGGAGTGTTGGTGCGCATCTCAATTTCTAAGCTGAAGAGCCTGCGTTGCCTGTAATCACCTCCAAGGTAATGTGGCCAGCATGACTACATGGAGTGCTGTTATCTTCCCACTGAAGCGGTACCTATTGATCTACTCACATTTGCATGTTTTCAAACTGCTAGGTTGGCAGAAGCTGGGGCTAACAGTGAGAGCTCACCCTGCTCCCTGAATTCGAACCACCAACCTTTCGGCCAGCAAATTCTGCAGCTTAGCAGTTTAATAAAGTAGTTTAAATTTGCACTAATTCTACAATGTAGATGCA